TCACTGGACACCTAAGGACTGGCTTCCCTCCCCTCTGAACACAATTCTGGAGTACTGAATCTACAGAAGAAGGCAGAGCCATAGTAAAATCAGGACACTGAAGTTCCAGCTCTCTCCTTCACCCCTGGACTCTGAAGCAAGTCAGACCCAAGGAAACCCCAAAAGAGCCTTTCAGTACCCCCAAATGGTGTCTCTCCCTCTCAGTCTTGGCAGGTAGCCATCATTATACAATGTGACCTGATTTTGTAGCTCTTTGGCTCTGGCCCACTGACAGTGATTTTTTTCTTCCCAAATTCAGCCCAGGTAGGGAGTAAGTCACACAAATGCATATTTAAAAGCTGAATTTGTATTTGGGGAGGAAGGAATTACCAGGGCTCAGGCAGCGGCTTTGCTCACCTGCTGTACTGATCCTTTCTGAGGCTGTATCCTGATAAAATGTGCAATGACAATAATGAAAGCCCCCTTGGAGGCCTCAGAGAAAGGGAAAATTCATGTCAAAAACTGAATATGAAGGGGAAGAAAGATCACACACACACAGAAAAAGAATCTTTAAAAGGTAAACATAAAAGAAACGTCTGGCTAAATTTATCTCTTTGTCAGAGAAAAATAGCCTAAGCCTTACCCATGTCTGTTGCCAATTCTCAACTGAAGGAAGAAAGGAAGAGCTTACTACAGAGTGGTGCTAGCACACAGAGCGACCAGCCGTGCTGAGAACACTCCATCCACAGCTCTGCTAGCCGGCAGAGTGACCACCAGGCACATGTGGATCTGAACCCTTGAAATGTGTCTAACAGACGGGGGAACTGAGCATTCCATTGATCTGATTCTAATTCACTTGTATACACACAGAAATAGCCACACGTGGCTAGCGGCTACTGTACTGGACAGCTCAGCTCCACACACTCAAATTGAAGAGCTGGCAATGTCTTTTTATTGCTTCAATAAAAACCACAATTCTAATCAACCAAGCATATCTTAAATGATCACCAAAATTAGTGCTTCTAGACAGGTCCTGGCCATGCCAAATTCTGTGAGCATAAAAGAAAAAGAAAAAATAGTAAAGAAAGTGATTCCAGTGTGTTACTTCCTGTTACTTTGTTCTGACTATCTAGTTGGCATTTCCAATACACCCGGGTTTTGTGTATTTGGAACTGTGCTTGAAGATGGAGTCTGTTTTTGCTGCACCAGAATGCTAGTCTCCCCTTAAGGTGTAGGAATCATAAAAGGAGTTCAGGCAAGTTAACCCGGCCGACCTTCAGTTTCCTGCAGGCTAAAGGCACAAAATATCAGTTTTCACCTCTCATGAAGGTTTCCTTCAGTGCCCAACAAAGAGGAAGCTCTCCACAAGAGATAGCTATCCTTATTATTCAGAACAATAATAAACTCTGCCATCAGAATCTGGCTGATACAATGAAGTTTACTATCAGCCAAATTCTCCGAGGTCAAATACTTTGAACCTGTAACTCGGGCTAGGGTCCACTGATACACATTTTGGCACCCAGAATGGGTACCATGAGTCCTTTAGTCAACATTTGCCGTGCCCCTACCTTGTGTCAAGTGCAGTACTAGGTTCACTATAGAAGAATGAGTGGAACGGTCCCGAAATACAGTCCAGAGCCATCTGGACCCGGCAAAGTTTAGTCAACATTGAGACACTTTAAGGAAATGTACAAATTTCATCCTGGATTCACACCAGGCAGAGAAAGACACTTTCTGTTTCCTGAAGCAGCCAAGGTCAGGTTCTGCTGCTGATCCTATAGAAAGGGATGAAGGTTTAAGGGGACCTGAGGGGGCCAGGCCCCTTTCCCCAGGCAGGATAGTAAGACAGGTGTGGATAGGTCTCCTTTTTCAAGGAGAGGCCCGATCACTTCCACAGGAAAGCTGTTCGGTGAGCCTAGAATAAACCATCACTGACCTGCCTCACAAAGCAACTGCAGTGCAAACTCTTTCAGTAGCCAGCCGCCCACACTGGTGAAACCCAAGGGGAATCTCTACCAAGTTCACATAAGCAAGCCCAACAGGCCAGAAATCCGCACACACACACACAACCTCCCCCCGCCCGCCCGACCCGGGGAATTTCTAAGCAGTTCACTGGAATTCTGTGGGGCTCAGAGGTTATATTTTTTTTTATAGAAAGCACTCAATCAATCTTTCACAACCAATGATACATTCCCCGACAGAATTCGTTTCTCTGAAGATCTCTAAAGATGAAATATTCATTTGATCATCTGCAATAATTTAAGTTTAAACCCATTTACTGGTAGAGCCAGGGACTTCTTATAACTCCTCTACCTAGGAAACCACGTTCTAAGCTGTCTCGGCTGGTCCCAGTTTCCGGGTTCCTCTGGGCCCCACAGAACACTAATCAAGTCATGTTCTTGATTTAGACATAGGAAAACAGGACTGTAGAATCTCATAGCTGTATTCTTTCCTGGTGGAAGTGTAAAATGGTATTTCCGTGTTGGAAAAAGGTTTGGCAGTTTTTTAAAGGGCTCTCATATACCTCTGTGACCCAGGAATTCACTTCCTGCTATTTATCCATGAGAAATGAGAAAATATGTCCCTAGGAAGACCTGTGTACAAAGCTTCATAGCAGCACAGTTCACAATAACCAACAATGAACAAACAAAAAGCCAGGGCATAACCTATGTGCCCATCCACAGGTGAATACATAAGCAAATAGTGGTACAAACATGCCTCTGGAATATAACTCAGCCATAAAAAAGACTAAAATACTGATACCTACAACATGGATGAATCTAAGAAACATAAGGGGTGAATGAAAGAAGCTTTACATAATAAGGTAGAATTGCATTTATAAGAGGTTCAAGAACAGGCTAAAGCAACCCATGACCTATGACTAGAAACAGAGCAGTGGTTGCTACAGAGAAAGTGGGGGCAGGAACTGACTCGAAAGGAGGATGAAGATATTTTCTGGGGTGATGGTAATGTTTCCTGACTTGATAAGGATGAGGGGTTACACAGGTGTATGTGTATGTCAAAACATTATGCAAATGGAGGACTCAAGGTTTGTGCATTTCACTGGATGTATAAATATTACCTTAAGAAAACCACAAACATAGCTGGGCACTGGTGGCTCATGCTTGTAATCATAGCTACTTTAGAAGGCAGAGATCAGGAGGATCGTGGTTTGAAGGCAGCCCAGGCAAATAGTTCTCAAGACCCTATCTTGAAAAAACCCAACACAAAATAGGGCTGGAGGAGTGGTTCAAGAGATAGAGCACCTGCCTAGCAAGCATGAGGCCCTGAGTTCAAACCCCAGTACTGCAAAAAAAAAAAAAGAAAAGAAAACCACAAACATGTATTGAACTCTAACAAAATGTGTGCTAAAGTGTTTACAAGTGACCTGTGCCAATGTCTGTAATCTACTTTAAAATGTGTGGCCATAAGCTGGACGGATGGATGGATACAGGGACACACAGATGGATGTATAATAAAGCCAATATAGCAAAATGTTAATTATAGAGTCTAGGCAGTGGTATTTGGTCACTGTTTTTGCAACTCTTTTTTCTCCGATTTTTAAAAAATGGAATGGAGAGGTGGGGGGTAGACTGGAGACACAGTGGCCTTACCATAGTCCAAGTCAGGAACCTGGCAAGGCACCCATGCCCATCAAGTCACAGAATCACTATTTCAGTTCTGATGAAAAGTGAAGATTGGAGGAACACAAGTATCTTTACAGGAACTCACATCACTCAAGCCAAAGATTTTCTGCCTGTTTCCCTACAGACAAAGCAATTATTTGAATGCAAGCCAAAAATTCCTGCTTGAGAGGGAGAGAAAGAACTCACTGACTTGTATCCCAAATTTATTCGATTTTAATTTCTGCACCAAATCTATGAGCTAACAGCACAATACTCACTTCCATTTGCCCCCATGTCTACACAGCCAAAAAACAAACAAAGAAAAACCAAGCCAGTGACTTGCTCTACAAATGCAGCCAGAAGATGAAGTCCCAGCTCTGGGGCTGGAATTACACAGGCAGGGCAGCAACCCCACCGAAGGCAAAAGAGGATGCTGGGCTCAGTCCGAGGTTAAAATGATTTCACTGAGGTTAGTGAACACGCACCAAACAGCTTGTTGCCTAAGCCTTCTGTGGGGCTGGTGACATCGAGGGTCACTTGAACTTCCTCAGAATATAGCTGTTCAAAAGTACAAATTAGGAATCCCGGCAGCCCGGGGGCACGTGGGGTACAAAGTGGGCCTAGCCACAGGCGCATAGGTCGCTCACATTACACCAGGTTTCCTTCCTGGCAAGACCTCACTTATCCTGAGATGACACAGGATGGCAGAGTTGAAAGATGCCTAGTCTGACTGCACGCCCAGCAGCTGAAAACAGCTGTACGATGACAAGAAGGGGCTGTGTTGAGAACAAGCCTGGCCACTTGCATACAGGGATTTATGCGCCACGCTTTAAAAAAAAATAAGTTTTTGTTTGTTTGTCTTTAGGCCCCCCAAACAAACTCACTGACACCACCCAGCGTCCCTAAGAGTCATCCACAACCACTTGGGGCAGCTGAGCCCGAGCAAGACAAACAGCAGGGCGCGCGCCTGGGTCTAACCTTGGACTCCAAGCGGTTCTCGCTGCCAGAGACAGCGGTACCCGAGGTGAAGGGCACCAGCCCTGGCCCGGGACCGGGTGCGCGTGCCTGACAACCCGGCTTCCTGAAATACATACCGCCCCAGCCCATTCTCGCGTCCCCTGCGCTTGTGAAAGTGGGGTAGGACAGGGCGAGAAAATCCCCTACAGAAGGGGAGATCCCCGTTTGTAGTGCCGGGGACTCCCGGACGCCCGAGGTCTGCGTCCCTCCTCGCAGCGCCGCAAGGTTGCTTCCGCCCATCCAGCACCTCTGTCCCCGGAGCAAGCCCACCTCCCGGGCTACCCGACCCGGGCCCGCGCCCCCCTCGAACCTGGGCTCCATCTCTAGCTCCCACCTCCTCTTTGCCGGGGACCCCCTGCAGCAGTGTCCTGGACCCACCTGTAGCCTAGAAGCTCCCCCTCCGCGCCCTTCCAAGGCGCCCCGAGTCCGCAGCGCTCACAACCCCCAGCAGACTCCTCTCTCTCCACGTGCCACGGTGATTTTTTTTTTTAACCCCCCAAAAAGTTGTCCCAAACCCTGGCGGTCCGATGAATCAGTCCCCGTCCCCATCCAAACCAGGCTAGGGTGTTTGGCTTGGCAGCTCCGCAGCTCTGGCAGCGGACAACCTGCAGGGGGGCTGGCCCGCCGAGCCCAAAGGAGGAGCGCTGTGCCCGTCGACACCCCAACGCCGCCACGCGCCCACCTACCTTTCGCGACCCGCGGCGGCGACGGCGGCGAAGGCGCGGGCTCCCTGAGACGGCGTATGGCGGCGTCCCGGGAGGAAAGTTTGTGCCATACAGAGCAGGCGGCGCGCGGAGGACGTGGGCGCCGCTGGGTGGGGGCACCGGGAGGCGGCGCGGCGTGCTCGCGGCTCTGTCCCTCGGGCGCCCGGCAGGCGTGTGTCCCTCCCCGGAGCCCGCGGCCGCCGCGCTCCCGCTCGCTGCGCCCTGTGCCCGGCGCGCTCCGGCTCCAGCCCCGACGCGCCCCCGCCGCCGCCGCCGCGCGTCCGCCGGCTACACTTCCTCTTCCTCTGAACTCATGTGCAAAATATGCTGCGCTGCATCTTCAGGGGAAGCCGAGCGGCCCCTGACAGCCGCGCCGGGAGCGCCGGGCCCGCCCCCCGCGCCCCCTTCGCGAGCCCCCAGCGCCACGCGCCCTGACCCCGAGCTCTGCTCTGCCCGGGGCTCCGAGGCGCACCCACCCTCCCTCTCGATCCCTTCAACCCAGGCTGTGTGTGGTCAAGGAGGGCACGTGGAAGACAGGGATGCCCCAAAATGGGTCGCAGGGCGATCGCCATCAAGGCACTGATGGCGGTGGTGGTTGTGGGGGGCGGGGGAGGGGGGAGGGTGACCTTTCCTCGGCCCCATTCCTCAGGTGGGAGCGTCCCCTAGCATCTCAGGTGCTGCCCAAGTCGTCATTTCTTGGAGAAAATAGTACCACTGCCCCCCTTGTCGCACTCTGTTCCACCTACTTCAGGTGTCCAAAGTGTGTGACTATGGGGGGGTTTGGACAATCTACCCTAGCAACTTGCGGCAGCCCAAAGAGAAAATGACAAAAAGTGCCAGGACAGGGCGGCATTGCCAAAGTAAAGTTGTGAAGTGGTAGGCTCACGATAAAAAAAAGATGTTCTCCTTGAAACTATTTAAACAAAGCAAAATTAGCATGTAGAAGTGAGGAACAGCAAACTCCAGAACCAAATGGTCAGGGTTGACTTCCGGTGGCACTTGGATAAGTGACTTCACTGCCTTGGGCCTATTCATTTGTCAAACAGCACTTCCTCGTGGGTTATTAACTGTAAAATGTTTAGGAAGCACTGTGTATCTTAGCTATCATCGTTATTATTATTATCATTATTATAAGGGAACCAGAAGGCTGAAATCATCTAGTTAATTACCTCCATTTTCTGGTTGGGCAAAGAGGGGTCCTTAGGCATTGGAGCCCACACAGTGGAAGGCTGGTGGAGGCCCCTGTCTTAATGAGGTCCGTCTGGTACTAATAACACCCCCCGGGGGTGAGGAAGCTCTGTTTGTTTGCAGAACACCTCCTGCTACCACAGCCACTCAGAGATTTTCTTCCAAAATTCTGTTTTCCTCCCTGCTCCCAACAACCCCTGGTTTGTTTTTGCTGTTTCTTCCTTTCCCCTTCACCCCACCACTTCCTGGCATCCTGGCTACCACTACCCCATTTTTCTCCACACCTCCTCCCACCCTCGCATGAGAGCTTTTGATTCCAAAGAAAATTCTAACAGCCCCTACTGCCAGTCTAGATTCAAACATTAATGTGGGGGGGACAAGGGTCCAGTGGCACCTCCGCTAGTTGTGAACACCCAGCTGTGCAGTGAAGGGAGGGATCTTTGTGTCACTTAAAGATCCTGCCTGAGGCCTTGAATTTTTACAAGTCAGGGCCCAGCTAAAATCTTTCTGATCCTCTGATGGCTACTACATTGGAGAAAGAAAACAGCATTTATGGGTGCTCACCAGTGGTTCACAAGTAAACACAGAGTATTTTTAAAAGAAAAAAAGAGGGGAATACAGTATAACATTGTTTTAGTTGACAGAGATAGTTGGTTTCTTCTAAGTAAATGGTTTCCACTCTAAGATTTTTGCACACTGTTGTATTCTGGTATATATGTTTTTGTTTTGTTTTAACACCAGGTCCTTGAACCTAATAAGCTATTCTGATTGTTTACATTTTTTTTCAACTCAATATTTTCCTAAGTGTTAAGTTAAATGATTTTTTTTTTCCTGGCTACATTTTTTGAGGTTTTTCTAGTAGGTTGGGTGTTCAAAAAACATTTATGGGATCGACAGGTGAGAGTTGTTACCATTAGATCCTTTAACACTCTGTGTAACCTACATTCAACAATTATCCAGAGTATTCTATTTCTTCTTCACCTGGAATATCCAGTGAGGATGCAAATGCTGGATTCTCTTGTGTTGTATAGAAAGCTGCCTCTGTTTTCAACTTGGCTACCATGGGCTGACCAACCAGGGGACAGATCTTTGGGCAGCTGGGCCTTACCTCTAACTGACCTCATCTACCCAGCATCAACCCCAAAGATGCTGGAACTGTATCCTGGTGGGTTACCTTGGCAACCTCACAATGTCATCTGTTAGAATGTCCTAGGGCGGCAGCTTTTAATTCTATCACAGCGGTCTCCTCAGGGGTCAGGTAATAGTGCTGTTTTTCCTCTGCTCACACTTCTTCCCCCTATGATTTAACACTAAGTACTTGGGAAGGGAGCCGAACACGTGGAAAACCAAGTTATTACTGCACAACAGGTCAAGATGTCCCGCCGAATTGGGGTCCCCAGTGTTCAAAGTCAATAAAACGCAGGCCCCAAGTTAATGGCAAAGCTGGTTCTTTTACGAAGCCTGTGGAAAGGAGAGGAGATTACCTAGTCTAACCAAGGGCAAGGAGCAACCCTGGCCAGACAGTGCAACTGTTGTAAAAGCTTAGTTGAAGGAGCCCCCAGCTGGAGCACTACGGGGCTCAGCAGCACCCCCTTCAGCGGTGATGGAGGCCCTGGGTACCAGCAGCCAGAGCGTTTTGGCTGCATCTGAGCTATGACAAGGCTCAGTGGGAAGGGAAATCCCAGTCAACCTTCTATTCTGCCTACTTTCTTCCCACCTCAGCCTTGACCCCACCTTGGGGGGGGTCACTTTCATCTTGGGGCCACCCTGCTCCTGACTTAGCTTCAAATAATTCCAATCCCTATTCTCCAGGGAACAGTAAAAGCTTGTGGCAGAAAATGGGCCCAACAAAAGCTTTGGGGGCCAAACAGCTATTTTCCTAATTGTTTATTTACAGGACCAGGAAACCCAGAGCTTAGGCCCACCAGCTGAATAGCAGCATGCCAGGGCACCCAGGAGGTGCAAGAATTATTTATCTTTATCATTGTAGTTAATATTTGAAAGTGGTTTTCCAGCCACACTGAGGTCACAGTTGGTCAGTGTTCTATACTGAATGGTTGCCAGAAAGAAGCTGCCCCATGGAGGGGACCTGTGGTTCCTTTCAGGAGACGTGGTGGCTGAGGCTCCAATTCTGTACTTCAGAGTTAGGGGTTGAGGGGAGCCCTTTGTTCAGCATGACAAGCACAGCCCTGGCAAGAGGTTCCACCTGGGTCACACTGGAGCAGAGACACTGATGCCAGTGTCAGAACATGCCTTTGACTCCCTTGGCTGTGGCAGAGTGTGAATTGAGGTGGAGGCAGGGAGCTTGAGAGGGAGTTTTTTGTACATACATTGATCTGCCAAGGCCAGAGACTTTTTGTTCAAAGTACAGTCAAATTAATACTTTGAAAATGCCACCCACAGGTTTGGCCAATTTGAGATGTCGAATGACAGCCAAATGTTCCATTCATCCCATACCAAAAAAAAAAATAAATAAATACATATACATATATATAACAACATATATATATATATATATATATATATATATATATATATATATACTCCTGAATCTGCTCCTCATTTTGCCTCTGAATCCCCAGCCTGAGTGAGACAGGCAATTCAGAGAGCAGGGGCCCTCCTGTGGCTGAGATAGAATCTGCTCTCTGGAGCAAAGAGCCATTAGAGACTGAATTTCGGGACTATTGTGTGAAGCATTGCTGTCTGCAGCCTCACGTGGCCCCAGAAATTATCTGTCTGTACTAAAGCCATCCACACCCATGCCTTCCCGGCTCACTGCATGCATGAGACACATCTGTTGACTTGTATTTGTGGACAAACTTTATTATCAGAGATAGGGGAGATGAATATATATATATATTTATATTCCTATAGAGAGATGCATATACATCTATATTCATATATATTAACATATGGCAATGAACTCCCATGTGTGCATATGTGTATGTGGGTGTGGGTGTGTGTGTGTATATATATATTATATATATATATATATGCTATATAATATATCCTATACATTCTACAAATGTCAAAAAAGGAGATTGTGGGAAAAAATCACTACTATGCAAATAGTGGAATATTTTTTGGCTATATTAATTGATACAGCTACCCTTTCCCTACCTCTCCTCTCCTCCCCATTGTATTTCTGCCTGTGCTATAATAACCAGCCCTCTTGGGCTGGTGGAGTGGCTCAAGCAGTAAGAAAGCCTGCCTAGCATGCATGAGGCTCTAAGTTCAAACTCCAGCACCACCAAAAAAAAAAAAAAAAAAAAAAAGACATTGACCATGAATTTAGACAGCTAGCTAGAGGACACATAATTGTCACAGGGAGAGTTAGCACAAAAACACCAGAGGGGAAAAAAAAGCCAAATCCTTGGTATTTGAATTTCCAAAATCAAGTTCCAAATATAAAATGAAAAGTTATGGAAGAATAGTAAATGGAGCAGGACCATTGTCCCCTCTCATATTTCCTTTTGTGCACCACCCACCCACCATTTCCCCACTACACACATACACACACGCACACACACACGCACACACACACGCACACACACACACACGCATACACACACGCACACACACATGCATACACGCGCATACACACACGCATACACACACGCACACAAGCGCACACACACGCATACACACACGCATACACACACGCACACACACGCATACACACACGCACACACACGCATACACACATGCACACACACACACGCACACACACACACATACACCACACACACGCATACACACACGCACACACACATGCAC